TTTTGCAGCTGAGCTCATGGTAATAGAAATACTTTCACACACACAATCACATATTTATTACCCACACACAAAAAAAGTATATGTACCTGCCTAGAGCCTAAGAGAATGTATTCTGGAGTCAAATGGTCTTCAGTGAATCAGCTTTAGTAGCATGAGCTTATTTATCATAATAACCTTATGAGGGAGTTAATGTTATCCTCCACTTTACAAATGGAGAGACTAAGGCTCACCGAAGTTAAGGAACTTACTCTAAGTCAAACAGAGAGTAAGTAAAAATTGAAAACTGAGCCCATGATTACCTGAATCCAGAACCTGTGTTTTTCATCTCCTGCCAGGTTACTTCTACACTTACTTCTACCAGGATATGATCCATGGGTTTGTGTAAATCTTAAGGATCTATGTCATCAACTTGTTTGAGATGTCTATGATTTTGTTCCCCAGCAAACTCTTCCAAGGAACAGACTAGACTGTCTTTACTCTTTTCTTATACTTTCCTTCCTTCTCATTTTCCACCAGTGTATTAAACACACACACACACACACACACACCACACACACACCACATACACACACACACACACACACCACACATGCCACACACACACCACACACGCATGCACAGGCCTCCTGAAATAACCCTTTGAATGGAACTAATGAGGGTTTCAGGAGAGCCCCTTCCAGGCAGCTGCACAGGTGGGTGCTCACTCACTTCTCCGAGTCATGAGGGTTCAAAGTCTCCTCTAGGGAGTCTGAGTTGAGGGCACTCCTTGTTTGTTAGGAAGGCAAAGGGCTAAGCAATCTTTCCTAAACATCTTTGCAAACAACAGTTGAAGAGGCTTGTAGGGTGGCCATTGTAAGGGGGATCCAAGGAGCTGAAGTAACTTGGCTTCCGGGCCTTTAGTCTACTTCATAGGGTAGTTATGAAATGTTGAGGAGGTTTCCTGGATTTTGGCAAAACATAATGTGTGACTCCTGTGAAGCTGACCAATATGTGGCCATTTTATAGAAGTTGGCCACTATGGTGCCCATTTAGTGGGATCAACCAAAGCTCCTGAAGGGCAAACCCATCCAGAGTCTGCAAGCATGGGGCAAATGTGTGGGGACAGGGGAGGGGGCAGAGAAGCTAGAAGGAACTCCTTGAGGCACTCATTTTCTCATCTGAAAAATTAGGGTAATCATATGCATGTGGATACATGCAGCATAGAGTCTAATGCATGGTGATTTGTCCAAGAACCTCTAATGGACCAAATCTAACTCTATTTTTAAATCTTAATATTAATCTCAGGACCCAACTATTAGATTCACCAGCTGCCCCCCTGCCAGCAGTTTACTTGTACAAACAAATCATGTTCCCCAAGTAAGGAGGATCAAACTGACATATGCCATTGTTCAGAAGGCAATTATCATAATGAGGGAAAGCAAACTGAATGAAGAGCTAATCCAGCTGCTATGTTTATAAAGCATAATAAAGGTGGCCTCTATGGAGCACAACTCAAAGTTAATTTGCACTTTTCTCCATAAGCCTGAAGCTACGTCCACCACAAATGCCCTCATAACTAAACAGGAGCTAATTACTCATGTTAATTACCCAGCCCTGGGTCAGATCTCAAAGTTGGTTAAAGATTGCCAAGTGCTAGCTGCACAGACTCTTCCTTGAATGTTTTACAGAGGCTAAGTTTATGTGTGTAAATCTTTGTGATCCCTTCTCACCATCTTTAAAATACAATCTTTGCTTTGATGAAAATAATTCTGCAGATGAGCACATCAACTTCCCACTTCTTCATTCTTGTCTCCTAAGATATTTCAGCCCAAAATATTTTCCTTGCTTTTCCTCTCTGCACAGAATAGTATAGCTGTGAAAACGTTAGCAAAAGTAATAGTTGGATGAATAATTAATTAACTAGAGGCTATGCATTGTATGGTTTCATTTATATAACATTCTGGAAAAGACAAAACTATAGAGACAGAAGACAGATGAGTGGTTGCCAGGGGTGAGGTAGAGGAAAGGCCTGACTACAAAGGGAACATGGAGGATGATAGACCTCTCCCGTCAGGTTGTGGCAGTGTATATACAATACTATGCAGTCATCCAGACCCTTAAAACTGTACACCATAATGAGCAAATTTTACTGTATTTCACTGAATGTAATTTAAAAATAGATTTGAAAAGAGAACAATAAAACTTGCACACACTCTGACAGTTTTTCTTCTTCATTTGTCTTTATCGCTAGAAATTTCTGATATCTTTTTCTGACAAAGGAAATCTTTGAAATTCTAACAAAAATGGAGGTTGGGGAAACAATTGCTGGTTTCACTGATTGGCAATAAATACCCTGTCTGCTTTTTTTGAAATGACTGAACAGGTGTAGCTTATTTTCCCTGGGAATGCTAAACTAGTGTCTACAAAAACAGAGTATAGCAAAGGCTTGAACAATTTTCCAGTGAGATCAGTCAAGTCTTAATCTCCATGACGCCAAAATACTTGGCTGCAAAGTGGAAAGTTTAGTCAACTACCCAGCTGTTTTGTCTCTATGTGTCCCCCAATCTATATGACTGTTCAGAGACAGGTTTCAGACTGTTTGGCTGGTGCCAGGGAGACGCCATCATAGTTGGCAGCTTTCCCCAATAGTAAATTTTCTTTACACTTCCTCACTCCCTTCCCTAGGCAGCTACAGCCTAGAGCTTTTTGTCATCTCATTTCAACAACAGTTACTTTAAAAAGACAAATCAGTGACTTTACGAAGAGTCATAATATACATCTTTCTTTTTTCTCCTTGGAGCACATATAGTAACTTCTCAAAACCGTTGATGCAAGAAGGCAGCCTTAAATGCCACAAAGATTATTCATTATCATAGCAACCTAAAAACTTACATTTCCAGAATAATTGCACCACAACTGATAGGAAGTTTTATAATAATTTGTAATGGCAATCGCTTAACAAGTTAAATGTTTCAGACTCACAAGAATGATGACATCATCTGAATAGTTTTCTATCACTTAAGAGAAATTTGTTTGATTAGGACTGACAGATGTATATAAGAAAGCAAGTAGCTTTACTTACAGTCTTTTTTTCTTGTTGGGAATATAATGAGATAAAACTATATCTTATGATGCTTGCATGTGTATGCCTTTCAAATTGTATGCCTACCTTTGTTGCAGAAGTAAAAACAGAGTAAGTCCATAGTGTGTTATCTGTCCATGGTGGGGTAGGGAGGTGGGAAGTTTGTATCATGGAATTAAACCCTTAAACTCAATTTGTAGAACCACAGACTCTCAGGTTAGCAGGGGTCTTAAGAGTGGCTCTGATCAGCTTTTCTTAACAAGAGAACACTCAAGATCAAGAGAACATTCAGTTTAGCTCAAGATAATGGAATTAATTGTAAGAATACACATGAACTGGGTCTAAAGCTAAAAAATGATAAGGAACCAAGACAGCTCTATACCAGTGATTTCATTAGTCTCTCTCAGACCACATGTTCTCTTTCTCTCAAGGTATCTCTGCCTCTGTTTGCATGTTATGTCCCACCCTCTCAAAATGAACTCCTCTTAATTGACTCACACTTTCTATTTGTTCATGGTCCTTCATGACTTTTCTAGCCTCTCCCTAGCATCAAAATCATTGCAAACTTGCTGGTTCATACTTTATTTCTTAGATTTTTAAAGCCAAGAGAGAAATTTGATTGGTTCTGCACATTTTCCCATACCAAGCCCAATTATATGTCATTGTCAGCCTATGAATTGACAACCTTGGGATCAGATGTCAACCTTGACTGCTCAGCCTAAGGTGGTGCAACATGATACAAAACTCAGCCATCTTGGCATCAGGAGCGCTGGGTGGGCAGTTCCCACTAGGAAGAAAGGGCTGTGGGGATTGTGCCCTCATTTAATAGTTGAGTTTCCTCTACATTCAGGGTTTCAAACTCCAGTGCCTGTTGGAAATGAATCAGACTGGCCAAGTCAAGAATATGGATGGTGTGAGTAGGAAAGACTTTGGGGAACTGGAAAACACAGCCCGGTGCAAAGAGAATGAGGAAACTAGCTCCAGTTGATTGGCTGGCAGGCAGAAAAGAGGACCTAGTATTGGTAGATCTAATTTTTCAACAGAACCCAGAAAACTGATTTTATGTAAAAATCTCCCAAACTGTAATAGTGGCTCAAACTTTTTGAACAATGTGGGCTAACCAAAACATTTCTTTTTCTCCTCCACCTTTCACCCAACTGATGACCCTCAGTCTCTATTCCCTCCTGAACACATAGCAGTGAGGAAGACAATTTTAAAGAAGTCCATTCTGTCTCCCAACAGTTCTGGTCATTTAAAATTCCTTTATATATTTGAACCTAAATCTGTCTCCCAACAACCTGTCCCTTAGGATGTGAAGGGAACAAATTGAAATCCCTTCCATCTGATAGTGCACTTAAAGACAATTGCCACAGCACACCCACTTCTTCTCATTTCCTTTCTTCAGACGCACCTCATGTGATTTGTTCTCTTCACCATCCTGCATGCCTTGCTCTGAACACACCCCAGTGGGATAATGTCTCCCTCAGATGTGATAATTAGGGTCAAAGGTCAGACTACAAGCACAGGATATCACAAGACTGCTTCACCTCTCTCACTTGAGACAGTATACTTCTATTAACATAATTTAAGATTCTTTTTGATGGCAAATTAATACTATTGATTCAGATTATGTTTAAAGTAAACTTAAGTGCTTAAGGTGTTTTGTTTGTTTGTTTTTCACATGAACACTTACTAAACCTGATTTTTTTTTAATAATAAAAATTAAGTTTTATTTTAAAAGGTAAAAATTTATACATTCTTATAAAAAGAAGTGGTAACATTTTAACCAATATAAAACATCACAGAATTCAAATCACAGTTTGGAGCTTCAAGATTCAAGTGTTGTATCCCATTAAGTAAAATGTGGTCAGTTTTAAGATAAAAATTCCTCCTTTAGATATCCTGTTTTCAATCAAGTCTTTTTTTTATCATCATCACCTCACACAGTAGGATAGCTGGCCATGGTGGCGATTCCACAGTGGTTGCTCCAGTCTTTGGCCATCTTTATGTAGCTATTCTTGCCCCAAGCTTCACCCCAGCTGTTCTTGACAATCCAATATTTATTTTTACTTGATTCTTCTTCTTCAAAGCCATAGCCAACCACCAGAATGCCATGATCTAGATCCATGCTGCTGCAGTGCCGCTCATAATAAATGCCATCTTCATAGAACTGGAAGCTAAGATGGCTTGCATCTATAGCCACCTAGATGGGCCCCACGGTTGCCATTGCCTTCATGAGGGCAGTCTCCTGCTCAGGGATGTCCACGAAGCCAGTGTCATTGGCAACAGAGTCCTCAGGCCTGTATTTGCAGGGTCCAACCTTTACTTGATAGGGATAGGACTCCTCTGAGTCCAGGCCGCCGTTGGACTTCACATACTGGAAGGCATTATCCATTAGGCCACCATTGCAGCCCTCATTGCCTTGAGCCTGAGAGCAGTCCACAAGGTTCAGCTCACTCAATGAGATAAGTTTTCCAGTTTTCCGGAACATCTGTCCCTCAAGGGCACCTGTTGCACTAAATGCCCAACAAGAACCACAGTGACCCTGGTACTTCACAGGGGTTACATAGCCTTCTTTCCTCTTGATTCTTATACGTTTTTCAAAATGCTGGCAGGCCAAGATCAGAAGGTTAGCCATCACTGTGCTAGAGACACAAAAATTGGACTTCAGAGTGTCTAAGAAGGAAGTACACTGATAAACACCCGAGATTCCAGGTGAGAACTTGGAAGAACTACTCCATGGAAATAAGGGAAAACATGAAATAAGTAACCAGTTTTTGAGCAGATCAAGGCGATCATCAAACTCTACCAGGCAACCAAAAGAAAATTAAATCCAGGAATCCAAGATGGTGGTTGACAGCCCGACCCATCCAAGGAGCAGCAGCTGCACAAGAGGTCTGCCTACGTCTGAGGAGCAGCAGCCCTGTGCAGCCTGCCCCCATCTGAGGAGCAGCAGCTGCGCAAGCATCTTGCCCTCATCCAAGCAGCAGCAGCTGCATGAGCAGCCTGCCCAATCTGAGGGGCAGCAGCTATGTGAGCAGCCAGCCCCCATCCGAGGAGCAGCAGTTCTGCGAGCAGCCCGTCCCCATTCAAGGAGCAGCAGCAGCCCACCCTGGTCCAAGGAGCAGCAGCCACACGAGCAGACCACCCACATCCAAGGAGCGGCAGCCCTGTGCAGCACGCACAGGTCCGAGGAGCAGAGCCACGCACAGCCTGCACCTGTCTGACAAGCAGCAGCCGGGTGAGTGGCCGGTCCCCATCCGAGGAGGAGCAGCCACACATGCAGCTCACTCCCGTCTGAAGAGCAGCAGTCTCGTGAGCAGACCACTCCTGTCCAAGGAACAGCAGCCTTGGAATCAACCTGCCCATGTCCAAGGAGCAGTAGCCCCACAAGCAGCCCACCACATCAGAGGAACAACAGCAGAATGCATCCAGCACCCATCCAAGGAACAGCAGCCATGTGAGCAGTCTACCCCAGTTCAAGGAGTAGCAGCTGCATGGGTAGCCCGCCCCCATCCAAGGAACAGCAGCCTCATGATCAGCACACCCTCTGTCTGAGGAACAGCAGCTGAGTGAGAAGCCTCCCCCTACCAGACAGAGGAGCCACCACGGCTGTGAACAGCACCCACCAGAGCAGCTGCTGCCAACTGAGGAGCCACTACTACCACAACCGCAGCCCAAGGTGCCACTGGCACCCAAGGAGCAGCCCCTGAACGGCTCAACATCTATATCTGTAGGTGAGATCAAACATGGGTAGACAAACCCCCAAAGGAAAAAGGAGGAATCGCCAGAAAAGCAGCTAAGTGAAACAGAGGCATGCATCATGTCAGAAAAAGAATTCAGATTAAGGGTCCTAGAGTGCATAAACTGGATGGAGGAAAAAAATCAACAACTTATGCAAGAATCAAGAAGAAATGGATGAAAAAATCAACAACTTATGCAAGAATCAAAAAGAAATGCATGAAAAAGTCAAAAACTTATGTAAGAATCAAGAAGAAATGAAGAGTGATATAGCTGCAATAAAAAACACCATGGAAGGTTTCAACAGTAGACCAGGAGAAGGGCAGGACCAAATTAGCGAATTAGAAGACAGTGAAGCAAAACACACCCAAACTGAACTGCAATTGGAGAAAACAATTAAAAGAGAGGAGGAGAGCCTAAGAGACGGAAAGTTACATACAAGAGATCTCCCATTAGATTATCAAATGATTTCTCAACAGAAACACATCAGGTCAGAGAAGAATGGATGGAAATTTACAAAGTGATGCAAAGCAAGGAACTGAATCCAAGAATATTATATCCAGCAAGGTTATCATTCAAAATTAAACCGGGGATAAGAAGCTACACAGACAAAGAAAGGCTAAGGAAGTTTATCACCACCAAGCCAGCAATGCAAGAAATTCTAAAGGGACTGGTTTAAAAAGAAGAAATAAAAAGCTAAGAAAGAAAACCAGCACAAAAAATAGAAACAGCTACAAACAAGC